CTTAGCGCGTCGAGGACGTCCTTCGCAGCAATTGCGCTGACACTCCGATGCGCAGGAATCATGCTGCTACCCGTAAAGTTTGCTCCAAACAATGCAGAGCATTCATCTACCGGCTACACGCCGTTCTACGGCAACAAAATTGTTCATCCTTGTGTCCCGCCGAAGCCGCCATCCCATGGCTTAGGGCTTGATGGAGAAGGAATAGCCGAGCGGCTCGCTGATGTCAGCCCTCTCACTGACCGCAAAGAAGTCGATGACTTCCTGTCTACCGGAGTGAGTGTCTTACGACACGTTTGCGATGCGATGGCTGAAAGCCAAGACATGCAGAAGAAATATGCATACGGAAGAAGTAGACGAAATGTTAAATATTTTGAGCTCGATGACCTGGTTTATCAAATGCTAAAATACTCCCTAACCATGCAATCTCTGTTGTCTTTAAGTCAAAGCTTTGGGCACGGTTTATCGGACCTTTCGAGGTTGTAGCCAAGCGTGGCCTTTCTATACGCTAATCCTTCCAAATCGAATGCGCATCCACCCAGTATTTTATGTGGGCTTGTTTAAGCCGTACTGGGTTCCGGCGGAAGCGTTGGCACCGGAGCGTCGCCCACAGGCGCTCGATAACCAAAAATCTGAACCAGCAACTGTTTTTGAGCACGTAGTGCAACGATTTCAATCTCATACGGCGCCATGCGCTCCACCTTCGACCGACATCGTCCTCGAGAGCTCGAAGAGCATCGCGAGTTACCGGATGGCGATCGACCAAGTCGTCATCGTCCGCCGCCGACTATTATCAACGAGAATGGTGGCGTCCACTATCACATGGAACGCCTTGTAAATCGACGTCGTCGACAGGGTTTGACCCAATATATTGTGAAGTGGCGGGGATTCCCTGGCTTCAAAAATTTGCGAGAGTTTGAAGTGCCACGTCGGCAAGACTGCTCGGACGTCGTGGACGCTTATGATGAGAGGATTCATGATGTTCCGCGTCGATGATCCCCTCGCGCTTCATGGTAGAAGCTCGAGAAGTCGATGGGCAATAAGCTGAGCTCAAGCTATGACCCTGAGCTGCTGTGGTTGCAGACTCACCCGTTTGAGAAACCACAGAGCTCGCAGGAGCGTGATGGATGATTCCATACGTCGCAAGGCGACAGTCCGAAGGAAGTCGGCGACGGGTCTTCAGTTTAGCTAGCCCAAAACGAAGATGATCATTCACGCGCACGTCCACTTCCTTGTGGCTCAATAGCAAGTAAGACAGCGAGAAACTTCCCACCGCTCAAAGAGATCTTCATCATCTGCAGCGGTTTCGCCAAGGGCGAGCACCAAAGGAGAAACCGCATTCTACTCGAGGGTCAAGGACCGACCGTGGATGCGCGCGCATGAGAGCCGCCCTGTGGACAGCATCCAGCTGTTTCTTCTGTGCCAAATCGAGGTCATTGGTAGTGACACTACTTCCCCCGGTAGTCGAGAGTTCAGAATAGGGACAGGGCATCCGCAAGATTTGCGCAGGCTCACGTCGCGCCGCTGGGGCACCTTGCTCTCTTCTTCTTTCCATCCTGGGAAAGGAGTATCCTACTCGTAGTCGACTTCTTCCAAATCCTCGACGAGGTAATCCATCGCCCGTGCGCGGTCAAGACTCGATATCGCGTCTAGGGTGTTGGTCGTGCGACTCTGTCATTGACAACGCGCTGGGTGGTAATCGATGACCGAGAGCTTGAGTTGCGCTTCCCTTTAAGCCGCGGAAGTTCTGTCCGAAGTTGCACCGCGTGCAGGAGACGAAGAATGGCTTTGCCCGCAGGCGTTCTCAGAACCTGCGAGTCAGGGTGTTTTTCGTGTCGTCGACACAGGGCTCATTGAGCAGAGAAACTCGTGAAGAAAGTCCTGGTGGTGTTGTGGTGTCTTAGCCACGCGAGCCTCGTTCGAGGCGACAGTTGAATGTGAGCTGTAGGTGCTCACAATCTTGATATATAAGAGTGTAACGGGGTTTCACGTGCCCTGGTAGAAGAAAAGTGTGGGTCACAGAAGATAATGTGACCTGGATAGTCTCAAACAAGATGTCAGTACGTGGTTGGAACAGCCAGTTGTTATATATTTCATTAGCTTTTACTGTATAGATAGGAAACCTATAGACTGAGATAAAGACGACTTTGCCGTAAATAAAACCGAAAAAAAAGTTTGAACTTTAAACGAAAGAGTTAATTAGCTTTGGGTTCAGGTTGTACTTACTCTAGGAGTATGTGGATTGCGATCCACTGCACTCGTACTGGTTCTAAGTGTAGAACGAAAGTCGCCAACTTTACCCAAATTTTCTTTTTACCGAGAGAGCTACGGCAGCCCCGCTGCATTCAGCAACGCAGCACATGATGAATCTAACCCGTTTCGATGTGCGTATTGCCCCGGTCGTGCTCGACGCCACAATCATGAGGTTCGATACCTTACAGTCGCGCGGCGAAATAGTTCATCCGTCGTCACATTACGCGGACCTAGTTTACCCCTTACCGCGACAGATTACTTGTGCAAAATAAAATCAAGTAATCATACTACGCGAGAGATAAGGTGACGACGTCGTCATGCAAACGACACATGATATTTGTACATCCGACCGGCTTAGAGCCATATAGAAGTACTTTGAAGTTCACATGCGCATATATAATATCAAATAGCTTCTCGTAATGAACAGACTATTTTTCCAATGTCAGTGATGAAAAAAATGCGAGACGCGTTCCTGCCATTAATATCTGCTTGTAGTAATAAACTGTCTATGATTAATGCTAAGGCGCTTCGGACAACTGATTTATGGCCAATCCGGACTTGTAAGAGTCAGAGAAAACGCACAGACGAGACTTTATTCGGCCTCTTCTGACGCCCCCTACTCATTGACATTCTTATCAAGGAGACTATCGAGGGGAACATAGGTTCTTTAGGCGCATAAAAATACATGGGTGCAGCGGGGCTGTCGTAGCTCTTTTCGTAGAGGAGGCTTACTAGTGCACCCAAATCCTGAACCAAGGTTTATACACTCTTCCGCTCAAAATTAAAACTGTATTCCATTGCTTTATTTGCGGCAGAGTCGTCTATATCCAAAACCATAGGTTTTCCTTAATAATAGTAAAACCTCATTAATGTGCATAACTACTGGCAGTCCTGCCACGTAGTGGCTTCTTGTTACAGTGTAATAACACCATTGTGTGATTTGTTATGTAACCTCCCTCTCAAATAGAATAAATCATTTATAAATATGGAATTCGCATTCTAATTTTGATGTTTATGATGTGCTTGTATGAGACGCGTGTTAATACGTATGTGAGCTGGTAATGATATATGCGCAATTTTAGTGTTCTGTTATTGTGTGTATGTTTGCTTTTGCCTGCCTTCTCATATAGTGTATGCAAAAGGATAGCGGGTATTCACTTGTAATCAACACCTTGGTACGGTCACGCCATCTTGGATACCAACCCTTTCATACAAGGGTACGTGTAACCCCGTTACACTCTCTCCCACCAAAATCGTAAAAATGCACAATTCACAGTTAACAGTCGCCTCGTACGAGGTTTGCATGTCTGATACACCGTTTCGTCCCTTAGAACATCCTTGAACATTCTCCGCTCAATGTTCCCTGTGTCAATAACACGAAAACCACTGGTTTAGCAACTTCCGAGGGTGTCCGCAGGCACTGCCCTTCTACTTCTTCTGCACAGAGTGCATCTCCGGACAGTACGTCTGCGACATCACAGGAAGCACTTCCTAAGCCCTCGGCAACCGAGCGCAAAACAACGCGCCCGACCCGGGCGACGAATCTCCTTATCGAGAAGTTAAGAGAAGTTGACTACGAGTCAGATACTCCTATCCCAGCATGTGAAGACGAAGAGAGCGAGGTGCGCCAACGGCGCGACGTGATCCTGCTCAAACCTTACGAACACCGTGTCCGTTTCCAAGTCTCTCGATTTCGGGGGAAAGTGGTATTATTAAAAATTGCCTCAGGAGCAGCAGTTGGAGGCTGCTCATAAAACGGCTCTCAGGCGCTCGTATTCACGTTCGGTCCTAGACTCTTGAGTGGAATACAGCATCCACTTGGCAGATCCCACTACTGAAGCAAAAGACGCGATCAATCGATCGTGGGGCATCGACGTAGTCGGGCCCCCGGCCGCTACACAAGCTGAGCTTGACCAGCGGGAAGTTCTCTTAGCTCGCTTCTTGGTACCTCAAGAAATCACAATGGATAGGTACCGCGCTCGACTTCGAGCTCAAATAGGAGTCGCTCCTGTACCTGCAATGCGGACTAATACTGAGGTGCTCGCCCCTGGCAAAACCGCTACAGATGATGAAGAGCTCTTTAAACAATGGGTGCAGTGGCACCGGTAGCTTTCCTCGCTGTCAAGCTTATAGCGGAGCCACAAGGAAGTGGACGTGCACGTAGAACGCCATCTCTGATTTGAGTTATCTTAAGGCGCGTCGCCGACTTCACGCATGTTGTCGCCCTGCAACACATGGAATCATCCATCACGCTCCCGCGAGCTCTGTCATTTTTTCACACGGGTGAGCCTACGACCACAGCAGCTCAGGGCCATAGCTTGACCTCAGCTCGCGGACCTTCGACTGCCCGTGCTTCTGCCGAGAAGCGCGAAGCGCAACGACGACGCAAAGCGTCATGATCCTTCTGATCATAAGCGCCCACGACGACTGAGCAGTCTTGCCGACGTGGCACTTCAAACTCTCACGAGTTCTTGAAGTCGGGGAGTCCCCCGCCACTTTTCAAGAT